AAGTTGGCAGGTCTTGCTCCTGATTTTAAATATTAATATTAGCATGACCAATCATGATCCCTAGATTTTCGATGCCGAAATTAGTCAAAAAGTACCAATGAATTAAAGCGGATAATTTATAATCTAGTGCAAGAATTTTTATTGGTCAAGATGGAAAAGACTTCTAAAGATATGTAGACTAATGTAATGTACTACAATCATTATTTTTATTATATTTTGTTAATATTATATAAAAATAGGAATTCTGACTCCTTCAAAAAATAATTAGATGTCATCTTCAAAATTGCCATTAAAATTTTTATGGGATGTGTATAATTTTACCCATACCTATATACAAAAAGGAATGTTCGTTTATTATTCAATTATTCGAAAGATCTATTTAATTTACATCACGGCATTTTATTATTAAGATCATAGATCAAAACTGAAGAAAATCAACCTTTTGATCTCGAAGATAATAATATACGTTATTACTGATGCAATATGAATCATAAAAGTGATTTATGTTTTGAATGGAATTGCGCACATGAAATGTTGAACCCATTTCGTTTTATTGATGAGTGGACATCGAATCATACATTCAATATATATGAGAATCTTTGAAAATCCGTTGCTTTATTCTCGCAAAAGAATCAGCAATGCCTTATTTTTTATTTCCTAATACGTATATATATATAGCGCGATATAGAAGTGGAGAATGTACGTGGCGACCAACAGCATTTCATTTCCCATCGATATCCGTAATTACTCGCGGCACACGGTATACGAGTTGTATTGGCATTCCGCAATATAGATTCCGTTAGTCGCTTCCCTTCACAATTCTAGTGATGCTTTTTAATCGGTAAAATTTCGAGGTTCCGTGCCACAAAACGCTTCTATCAATACATATATATATATATGCTACATTGAAACGCAATTATACGTATACCTGAAACGCTATGCTTCCCAGTAAATCTCTCAAGGAATTTCATCATTTCAATCAATTGAATTCTAGTAAGGTTCCTTTTGGGTTGAGTTACGGAAATCGATTTTCCATAAGTTACGTCGTAATAGTGAAAATTCTTTTGCCTCCTTTTTTGATAAAAAAGAAAAATATCTTTATACATAGTATAGTGGTTATATTTTAAAGTCTAAAAGTTGAACTCCTCTTGGCCAATTTTCTTGAAGGCAAATTAACCTCTCGTTTTCTTTTTCCCCTCATTTTACAAAAAAAGGGAGAATCTACGAGTTTCTCAAACCACTCGACCCCTTGAGTTGTTCAGTCTTGAGGAGTTCTTGAGGAAGCGGGAACGATCCGGCTTTTACACACACACACACATAGAAAGAGAGACGTAATATTCTGTCGCGTGACTGTTGATCGTCGAGCGGTGAACCGTAAGATGTCCCTTTTAAAAGTCTTCCATTACGCGATTCCGAGGCAGAAAATTCAGCAAAGAAAGTTGTGGATTAGTTTCGTGGGCAATAATTGGGGTGAGTCTTCTCCCTTTCCCTTCTCGCTCTCTCTTTCTGTAATGATAATTTGCGAAAGTCTGTTCTTCTTGAGAGCGAGGTTTCTACCGGTTGTACAAATGCGCGCACACAGAGGAGAGCCAAAGAAGAAGCCTGCACAAAAGCGGAAGGAGGAATTGAGAAAATTGTATGAGACGTAGTAAGTGTAGTGCTTCTGAGAAGTGCTAACCGTGGAACGAGAAGGACTAAGTGAATTTATTAAATTCATTCTGGCGTTTCGAATGAACGTTAACTTTATATGCATTATACCTATATACATTATATAGCAGCGAGTGTTGAAGCGGAAAAGTCTTGAGTAAAAAGGCGGATGTTTCTCTGCGAAATGAAATGGCTCTCCTTTCTATTCCCAAGTAAAAAGGGATAAAAAGTAAAAAGAAAAATTAGATTTTCAAAAAGGCTCCTGCATCGAGATTTTAGACGTTCGGTTATATTTCCAAGATTAAATAAACTATATATATAGACATTTTATGCGGGTTCAAAAGAACAGCGTATCCATTTCTGTTAATTTAATTTCTAAATCAAGGGAAACTTGGACACAACAATTTGGATAAATTTTATCCATTATCGGCGAAAAAGAAAACAGAATTTCGGCTGAAATTATTATCAGAATCCCGAATCTTATTTTTATACATATAAATGGTATCTTGTATCTCAACATAATTAGGATTAAGCATCATTAACGGAAATTGAAATTCGACGTAATTATGAAAATGCAAATTCTGCTTTCGAAAGAAATTGAATGGAATTCGCTGGATAAGGAAACGGAATTTCAGTTAAATTCCATTAATTTTCACGAGAGAAACACAAAATAAGAGATCTCCACAATGAGAATGAAGGATTGGAAATATAAAGAAAAAATTGCGAGACGACCAATTAAATAGGAGCAATTGAAAGCGAGGAAATAATATGACTGATCAAAGTTACCAGAATACAATCTTGATTATCGGCAGTCTCCATTAATCCAAAATTCGTTTCTGATTTATCCTTTCGTTCTGTTATGAAAAGTCTCGCGAAGCACAGAGGATTCTCGCCGGGTCACAAAAACGTTCAGGATATCACTATCTATCATTGTAATTAGAAGTCATCAAGAGAAGAGCTTCCTGGTGTATATATTTGGATGAGAGTCCCGAATATTCAAGAACACCAAGAAGACAAAATTACTGTTTTGTTGACGATCTGTCAACTCAATACTGGCAGTCAATTTCCTATGGACTTCTCACAACAATTAATTTAGCATCGGATAGTTTAGAAATCTGCGTTACCGACGACTGCGTATCGATTATCGTTCGCGGGTATTATATTATTTAATATTAATTGATCTTAATGACACCGAGAAGAGAGGCCGCTGTTTAGCGACGCTTTCGAGTTTAACTCGTCAGCCATTTTACTCTCATTCTCATCCTGGTGTTCGTAGAGTCAAGTTGTATTATATTCTTTTTCGTGTAAAATAACAAAAATTTAAAATTATAACAATGAGACGAGGTGTCATCGTCGTCGTCAAATGGACGGTGACTTCCAAAAAATTAATTACGAGTCGTTTTCTTCAGAATCAATCTCATTATTATTAAAGTATAATTGAATAAATAAAATATAAATCTTGTCTTTCAGCCTTCTGCCATTATTTAACTTTTTCTAAAATTTGAAGTGAATATTAATAAACAGTGTTGTTATTATAAATTTTGTCTAATTAATGTTGTTTATCCTTATTCCCCCCTCTCGGCGGTCTATTGTTGCTGTAAAGTAACAATCGAATTCCTGAGCTGGTTTTTGTTTTTCCTAATTAGAATTATAAAATCTACTTGTCGGGTTATTTAACTATTTTTTTTGTTTATTTATTTTCGATAAAATAATTTGGCGTCTTGGAAAAATTAATAATTAAAAAGTGTAGATAACGTTGATTGTCTTGAAAATATAATAATAAATAATTTAAAATAAAAATCAATAATAAAATAAATTCAACGTTACAATAGACAGCGATTTATCGAAATATTCTTTAATTACACAGACTAAAATCTTTAATTACTTATAACAATTATATTATGGCGCAATATATGTGATCAAGGCACAAGTTAACGAATCCCTCTGTCAGCTCCTCGGCAACAGGTCTCCGGCATGGCTTTATCGTCTGCTACTTTAGTTTATATGCGCACCACCAGGTGGTAGGCGCGCGAGATTCAAATTCAATTATTAATTATTCTATACTAAATAAAATACTACTACATACTAGATATTTAATTTTAATTATAGAAAATAAAAAGAATTATAATCGTTACTTTCATGAACATAATAAAAACAATAAAGGATTTGGAATTTGGAAACAATGCGACGAATTTTCTTATATTTGATGAATCTAAGAGAGCTAGAGGAATTTAAAAAAAATATATATATATATATCATTGAAGAATGATAAATATTTTCTATTTAAAATGACATTTCTTAATTTGCGTGTCTTGTCAAGTAGCGAAAGAATTCGCTTTACAGCAATTTCCTACGATTTCAACGGGACACGTTTTTTTCTGTCTCTCTTTCTTGAAACACGATTACTTTATTATTTGTGTGAGAAAACTTGCGTGCATGAAGTTACGTGTTGGTTCTTTGCAATTATATTTAAGTTTTGTTGAAAACAGTCTTTTATAGTCTGAAAATGCTTTACACAGGTTAAAAAAAGAAACAAACATTAAATATGATTGACATGTTAATAATAATTCAGTAAATGCATTTCTCTCGCGCGCAGTAAAATACTTTACGGCAAAATAATATAACAGTGATAATTGGATTGAGAAAAGAAAGGAAACTATGACGTCAAGAGAATAGAATTGAAAAGAGAAAAAAGATTCTAGATGAAAAAATTTTGTAAAAAAAATTTCTTTCGATCGAAAAAGAGTCTTTTCCAAAAAAAAGGCCTGTCTCTATGATAAATGCAAATTCTCCGCTATATTTTGGAAGGTTTCCATCAAATTTAGATTTATTGAGTTTTCAATAATCAAGTTGAAATATTTTCATCCTTCCCATTCTCTCCTTTCCAAAAGTCTTGCGCTATACTATTAAATTGAAGGGACCATAAACTTGAAGAATTTTTACAAATATCTAAATGCCTGAATTTTGTTCATGCTTGAATAGAGTTCAATTTTAAGAAATGTAGAGCAAAGTCTAAAGCAAAAGCGGAATGTCTAAAGCAGACTGGGACCGATAAAATTACTATCGAGCGAACATCACTGAACAAGTGTACGCAAACTTTTAACGAGAACGGCCCACTTTTACACCGATCCAATAGCATTGAGAAGTCAAACTATTTTATCGAGAGTAAATAAAATTTCCGTCCAAACCTTTTTTTAGCTTCAAGAAGGACTTAATATATATATACAAGGTGGCGTTTCACACACCAACTTCAATTAATTTTTATAAAACTATTAAATTTTATGTTTTTTTCAAAAATAGACATTACTTAGAATAATTTCAATGAGACTATATTCGCACCTTGGTCTTTGACCTTGATTTTTAAAGTTATGTTTATTTTATACTCAAAATCGACGGTAATATTTTCTTACATAGGTATTAGACATATATTTCTATGCAACTAATAAATATACTATTTTTTAGGTAGAAAATTGTATTATTTATTATAAAAATGAAATATACTATACACATCTAATAAATTTATCGGATATACTTCCGAAGTAGGGGTACCTCCGATTTTAATAAAACTTGGTATACTAACGTATTTTGGTGCGCTGATTACGAAAATGATAGTGAAAATTGGCGCAAATTTGATTATCATGGTAAAAACCATAAAAAACACCATAAAATAATGGTTTTTTACGATTATCTCGTAAAAAACAAAAAATTTCGAAAAAAGTTTTAGACAAAAGTTGTAGATCTCAAAAAAACACACATTTCATGTTTTATGCATTTTTTACCAAAAGTCATTATTTTTCGAGAAAAATGGTCCGAAAGTAATTTGCGGAAATTGTGGGGTGGAGTCCACAGCAGCGGTAAACGCAAAATAGTAAACACGGCCTTCGGCCGCGTAAGGTACTGCTCGCTTTTTTTTTAAAAAAAACCTTGGCGAGAGGGGGTGGATATGGCCGAAAGTATTTTGCGGAATTCGTTAGATCCTGACTAATAGTGAATATGATACTATATACGAGTCAAATAATATGTCTAACCATGACTGCTGTATATGTTTTCATTATCATGGTGTTTTTCGTTTTTTGGATTTTTCTCGAAAAATAATGACTTTTGGTAAAAAATGCATAAAACATAAAATGTGTGTTTTTTTGAGATCTACAACTTTTGTCTAAAACTTTTTTCGAAATTTTTTGTTTTTTACGAGATAATCGTAAAAAACCATTATTTTATGGTGTTTTTTATGGTTTTTACCATGATAATCAAATTTGCGCCAATTTTCACTATCATTTTCGTAATCAGCGCACCAAAATACGTTAGTATACCAAGTTTTATTAAAATCGGAGGTACCCCTACTTCGGAAGTACACCCAATTTATCAGATAAAATTTAAAGACGCATAAATAATTAACATTTTACGGATATAATTTCTATTATACAAATATTTACACGAGTAACTACATTTATATATTCAAATCAAATCAGTATATGTTACGAAATTCGTGATTTTTAAAATACTATTTCTGACATTAAATAGATAATAGAGAAATGTATTTTTTTTTATACCTTAAAAGATAAATATAAAGCAAAACATGACAATAGTAAGAAAGAAAATAGCTCTTGTAAAACCACGGACAATTTTAATACTATTTTCATCCACACAATATTTTCTGCTTGCGGCAGCAGCGCACAAAACGTAGGATTCAACATCGATATCAGCTTGAAGAGGAAATGTTTCCTGATCCTGTGGGCTAAGGCGCTTGTAAAGTCGATTGACGTGATTTCTCTCTACTGACCACGGCTTGGATGCTACTGACTCCAGAGAACGAAGCGCATTTTGCACTCGGACATGTTCAGCAACGATCCTAGAAAATAACCAATTGAAAACCAATCTTGATATGCTCAATTCTGTTCTCAAAACTTGACAAAAAAAATATCTATATTTGAAATGCTTTTTTAGCATTTCAATAGATAAAAGTTGACCATTTTTTTTCTCGGCAATTAGAAAATTTTGTAGGTTAGAAAATATTTTCAATTTTATTTCATTTTAATTTAATGAATGTATAATTTAATTGTCCTATCAAAATATTACGTAAATAATTTAATAAAATATATTTGCAAATAAATATTAAGAAAAATATATAATGAATCTAAATTTTAATGGTCGCTTTATGACTTCAGCAGTATTTGACAACATCGGGAGTGTCAAAATATTACGTAAATAAATTTCAATAATATATTCGCAAATAAATATTAAAGTAAAAATATAAGAATTAAAGTAAAATAAATCTATTGTCATTAAATAATGTCTGATTTTTGCTTGTGTTTTAAATTTTTTCTTTTTGGCAAATGGAAATTTAATTCAAAGCTTATTTGCAGCAATTATTATCTTCTATTATATTAAGTTAACAAATTTCGAAAAACGACACCGACCCCGTGACCTCGACACCGTCCTTGAAAAATCTATTTTCAAATAAATCAAAATACTTTGCATATATGCTTTTAGAAAATCTTACAAACTATTTTTATGTAACATCTTTTTTCAATTTTAACCCGAAAAAGGGTTATTTTTCAATTTTAACCCGAAAAAGGGTTATTTTGCAATTTTTTAAGAATTTTTTGATTTTTTCAATTTTTTATTATTTATTGTTGTTTTTTCAATTTTTAGTTAGTAACCTATAATATTGTGTCTAATTTTAAGTGTCATTAAAATCAAATATTTTTAACTTAATAATTTTAACATTTCTTAATTTAAAACGAAACATCTTCTATTATATTAAGTTAACAAATTTCGAAAAACGACACCGACCCCGTGACCTCGACACCGTCCTTGAAAAATCTATTTTCAATTATTTTCAAATAAATCAAAATACTTTGCATATATGCTTTTAGAAAATCTTACAAACTATTTTTATGTAACATCTTTTTTCAATTTTAAGATAAATTTTATACAATATTAATAAGATATTAATTTAAAACATAAATTATATATATAATATACATAAACTACAATAAGTAAACAACAATAAGTACAATTTTAACCGAGCGAGCGTTAGCGAGCGAGGAATACATCGCTAGTTGTAATTAATATACTAAAATTTATATTAGAAAATAAATAATTTTTATGTATAATGTTTAATAAAAATTAAATCTGACTCGGAGTGATCGTTCAATTCATTTTTCGTATTTTAACTAAGGTGATCGTGTAATAAATTCAATTATTTATTTAATAAAAATAGATAATGAAATATTAAATTAAGATAGATAATATTAAATTAATAATATTAAAAATATTATTTATCAAATAACAAAAAAGATTATTAAATATTATTTTAATATTTATATTAATTTAATTTTCATATTTTTAATATTAATAATAAAATTAAATTAAAATTAATTTAAATTTCCCGCTGTATTTGTCACTCAAAACTGCTGTAGTCAAGGGTATGATTATTTTTGAAGTTACTCAACGACTCGTATAGTGCTCTCCCTTTACTTTTACATTTCGTTATATTTTTTTAATGTTTGTATCGTAAGTAGTACAAATTTTTGTAAAAATCAATGTTTTCGATCTAAAAATTTGTAATTTTTTTTTTGCATTGCGATCTAACACACTTTGGTGGTGGTGCATTATTTGTTAAGACGGTTTTCATCTTTGATGTCGAAACATTGATTCTTTTCATATATATATATATATATATATATATATATATATATAAAAGTGAAACAAGTCGGAAACATAAAAGTGTCGACGTGATTGATACTTTTAACCCACTTGGAAGAATTGTGTTAAATGTCTTTTATTATATGAGAAATTTATTACAAAACAAGTTATAAAATAACACGAATAGACTATGATATAAATTATACACATAAACATATAATATGTATATTTAAACATGTATTATAGATTATGCAAGTATATGTGTAAATCATTGCAAATAAATTTTTAATTAACTATAAGTTTTCGTAACAATTTTTTTTTAAGAAAATTTAATATTTCATATGAAACGATTTGGCAATTGAATTTTTTTTTCCAATGGAAAAAAGAAATTAGTTCATCGTTTAAAGTGAATTACTTACTTTAAATTTGTTTTTTTTTCAAATTCCAAATAAAAAAAGGAATACTTTGTAATGTAATTGAAAAACGGATACGTTTTATATTATATTTTCTTGTATGTAAGATGTATCAAATTGAATTACGAAAAAACAGTGAAGAAAGGATAGAATTTTTTCTGAAGTAAAGAATTTTATATATATTCATATCCTCTATCTTTTTATTATTTTTTTACTATTCATATTTTGTTTGCCTTTGTTCGAGAATTAAATTTTTTTTTATTTATTTTCATATGTGACTTAAAAATTAAATTACCAATTAATTTTCTTGTATTTATAAATATTTAAGTTAAAGATAAATTATCTATCAAAGAAGAATAATGAACTGGTTGTGAGAAACAATTTCTATGTAAAACACAATTTTTTGCCAAGATTAATGAATTTATAATTTTTCATCTATATAATAGCAGGATATTAATTAATTAACTTACCTCTGTTTTGCACCAAACAAATTCAAGATTGTATCACAGATGACGGACGGCAGCCAGTCAGTAAAAAAGACGGCTAACCAGTGGAGCACGACATTATTCGTCATTCCACGAAAACCAAATGTTGGATATGTAAATTTACGATTTCCTCGATTTCCATATGTAACAAGTTCGCCCCATGTGCATCCAATTGAAGTTGCGTTGTAAACTGACACTTTGTCATTTCTACTTCTGCAAAAAAAAAAAAAATTGGTATACATTCAATTTTTTTGCACCTTTATAATCAAAAATAATTTTCTTTTTAAATTAAAAATAATTAAAGTGTCACGTCACCGTAACATTTTTTATAAATAAATAATATTTTTTGTAAAATTAATTTGTTAAATAAATTAATATATAATATATATATATATATAAATAATCTTTTGTTTAATTATCGCTTTGTTCATTCATTTAATAAACTCTCCCCAACTTAGTTTTTTTTTTAAACTAAATTAAATTGAGGAATTAGAGTAAGGAATAATTATAAGTTCTTAGATTGCGAAGAATTAATAATAATTAAAAATTTTAATTCAATAATTATGACATAACAATCACATCAAATAGGTAAAGAATTACAAAACTCAATAACCAAGGATTATTTAATTCAAGTCTTAATTTAACTCAATAACCAAGGATTATTTAATTCAAGTCTTAAAAAAACTATTAATTATTAGGAATAAAATATTTAAATTATTTAATAAATAAATTTGTAGGAGAGAGTCAGTACGATCGGGCCACTTTTACGATTGGGCCAGTACTGCGTTTAAAGACCTTTCACATTAGCGCCATCTACCTTTGCATGCAAATACTTACTAGCCATGGTAATAAACTTTTCACGTCACTTTTAGCAAGTCTCAGTGAAATGCGCAATTTGTACAGATGTGTTTTGTAAATGTAAGCTAAAGATTAAAAGGAAAACTTGTTTGTGGTGTCCGAAAAAGTGAAATAAAAAAAAGAAGGAGATGCAAACAATAAAGTAAGTTGACTAAGTTTGTTCTTTAGAGTATTCTTTGAAAATGTGGTGTCTTATTTGATGTTTGTATCATGCATTTTTTGCCTGTATAATAAAAAAGTAAAACGACGTGATAGTTTAGGTTGGGCCAATAAATGTAGTGTTGGTTGGGCCACTTAAAATTGTGCAATTACGATACGTCCTGACATCATAAATTCATTTTTCGACGTAGCGATGTGTCAAAAACGTCATTTACCAATGGGAAAAAAAAATTTTCGTTTTAGAAAAGTTCCTAAAACGATTCATAATGTCTTATTTCGAGTCTACTGCAAACAAAAATTTTAATATTATTAATTTTTGTCATTTTTCTTGAATTTTCAGACCAACTTCGAGAAGAAAGAGAAAAACCAACCGCGGGAATTTTGTTTTGCTTGACGTAGTACCAGCATAAACTTTATTGCGCAAAAAATACTATTTTAACAAATGCTACTTCACATAGACGGTGACGCCCTCAATTATGGTAAAATTTGTTGCAGGCAAATATTATACAGATTTAGGGATGAAAATAATACTATGTTTCTTCTGTGTCGGGACATTTTTAATAATTTTTCTTTATATATAACATTGATTTTGTACGGTGGCCCAACCGTGAACACCTGGTCCGACCATAACGATCAAATTTATTTTTTTGAAATGCCTATCACTTTTACATATTTGATCCAATCATTTTTTGTTATTCAGGGAAAATGTTGCACTGGAAAAGATGTTTCCAACCATACGTGAGAAAATCCGAAATTCAGTTTAGAACGGAAGTTATGGCCACAAATCAAAAGGTGGCCCAACTGTACTGACTCTCCCCTATAAAATTCTTATTCATTTTGATACTACCTCTTCTCTACTTAATTTTGTTAAACTAAGTTAGAGGATTAGATTAAGAAATTGTTATTAGTTGTTAGAAAAAATTAAATATTAAAGAAAAATTAAAATTAGGACAACAAATATTTTAATAATAATTAATTTAATTATACAAGTTTTGCATTTAAAAAAATTAATTTCTCTTATTATTTTTTAAAATTCAATGATTGTTTAATAAATGTACAACTGAAATTAAACATTGGGTAATATGTGTAGATATAGATAAAAAAAAATTGCAACTCGTAAGTAATATAATGGCAAGGAGAAAGCTACCGACTATGAAAGGAAAAGTATATCTTGAAAACCTCTAACAAAATTTAACATTAGCTGTGCAAACAACTCATTCTGGAAATAACATAAAAATTTCAAAACTAACTTTGCTTTTATATATCATAATTAGAAAGCTTACAGGATTGAATATTTAATAATTTCTTTTTTATTTAAAAATTCTTTTACTCATTTAATTTTTTAAAATTATTTTCAATTATAAATTCTATTCTTTATTTTGTAAGATTTTAATACTTTTGTTAAATTGTGTCAAAACCAAAAAAAAAATAGTGTTTCATTTATCAATCTTCCAATAGTAATTAAATTTAATTTATAAGTATTAAATCATTCTTATTTTTAACTAAGAACGATATAATATATTCTTGATAAAATTAATAATATTTGAGATGTTTCGAATTTAATTTCAGTTTACGTTCATATGGAGATGCATAATTTTATGTACAACATATTATTGAATTACTTTGCCAAAATGTACTTAAACTCGTGCAGTTCGTGTGTGTCATTTGATTAAACTCAGACTTTTTAATTTAAAAATAAATGACGTTATATTTAACATTTCAAACATGAAACTTCATTTGCAGCTTTCCCGGGAAATTCGCTGAAGATAAATTATATTCACTTCACATGTTTGAATTGAATATATATATATACAATTAATGAAAGTTTCAACGTTAAAAAATATTGTCCAATATGAAAAAGTCAACTTAAACCAAAACAATTAAGAATTTTATAATGTTTCAGCCTTTAAATATATGTGGAATAGAAATTATAACCAGAAATTCTAAATATAAAATAAATGCAAAAGTGAATGATTTTACATTCTTTGAAAAAATTTAATTTTATAGCAACTTGAGTGTAATTTTTCCTGAACCTTTTGTTCTTGGGCGCAAAACAAATGAGAAGGAATATAAAAAAAATTGATAACAATAAATTTAATAAAGTGAGGATATAAAGACAATATGTAGGGAAAAAAATATATATGGGAGAATATTTTATATCAAGTGTCATTTGGCAAAAAAAAGGTATCGTGCCTACTTGAGATGAAGGCAGAAGAGGTTAAATCATCCGAGCGAGTGATCCATCAATGTCGAATATCGCCACATTTTCTCTATACCCCTAGAAAATTACATTTTGAAACTCCAGTGGTTTTCCGAAACTAAGCTTTATTTTTCCTCGTAAGCGATTGCGATCTCTTCTTGAAGGCATTCGAATATAAAGTCGCGACGTTGAAATTCCCCAAGTCTAGAGTGTATCGACTAAGAAAGAAGCAAAAAAAAAAAAAGAAAAGGCGAATACGTACTTTCGAATGAAATGTGAACTCGATGCTCAGTCGAGTGCTCAAAGAGGAAATGCAAAATGATGGATGCGGAAATAACTCCTTTGCCACGCTCATCATGCATTCAAAATTTATAAAAAATTTCACAATATTTATTTATAGTTATGTTTGAAATTATTTTTTTCAAACCATGCTCATTATTTTACATAAATAATTTTCAATTTTTTAAAAAAATCAATCATTAATAAGAAAAAAGGCAATTTTTGAAACTTTTTTTTAACAGTCCGCTATTTTGTTATTTATTAAAATAAATTATTTTTTAAGGTTTAGACAAAACACAGTTTTGCCGAAGCAAAATCTCGAAGAAAACAATTTTTAAACTAAAATTTATTTTTTTAATTTTCTTCAAACTTTATTCTTTGTATTCATTATAAATTATATTTAAAATGTGTTACAAGATTGTTTATATTTTATTACCAAAAAGATTCATCTGGACTTGGCCACATTGTAGAATTTTTCCATCTCGTTATTCTATCTGTAAATATCAAAATGTCAAAAAGGAATTTTAAACTACTTTTTGTAATCAATGACATTTTTTAATCACAGTTGACCTTGACTTATTTAAATACTATACTTACCAAGAACCTTCTTTACAGGACTCCAGTCAATGTCTGCTTCAACATTTATCACAAATAATAGAAAAAAAATATAAAGTAATTTTATTATTAAATGAGACATAACGTTTTTGCATAAGAAAAAACAATTTTTTAATGAAATTAAAATTTTATGTTTTTAAATAAATACAAAATTAACTTTTATGTATGAATTAATAATATGTAAGTTCTTCTACGATACAAAACTACTTTTTTTCCTTTTTATTCTTCAAAAAAGATATATATCTTTCATTTTGAAACTAATTTGTCACATTAATAAATACGTTTGCAAATAAGTATCTAACTAAATTATACGATAGACATATAATTTTCTTTTTACAATCTTTATCTTCTTTTCAATTTTAATTACAAAGGGAAAAAAATTCAAAATAAATTTAAAATTCATATTCAACTATTAGTTAAAAGAAATGAAATAATTTTTTAAACATAAGGATAATTTTTTAATAATAATTTCAACTTCTGTCTTATAAATTAGTAAATTAATTAATTGTAATTATATACGTAATTAATTATAATTATATAATTGATTAATTGTAATTATATAATTAATTTATTGTAATTATATACGTAATTAATTATAATTATATAATTGATTAATTGTAATTATATACATAATTAATTATAATTATATACGTAATTAATTATAATTATATAATTGATTAATTGTAATTATATAATTAATTTAGTGTAATTATAGGTATACATAATTAATTATAATTATTTAATTAATTAATTGTATTTATATACGTAATTAATTGTAATTATATAATCAATTAATTGTAATTATATAAGTAATTAATTATAATTATATAATTGATTAATTGTAATTATATATATATGTTTATTTGTTCAAGAACCAATTGTTTATACAAAGAAGTTGCGATTAATACAGCGTAAAATTACAATCTCAAATTTCTTCCTTCAATAACCGATTTAACAAATAAATATATTCTTTTTATTCGGTCGTAATTTGGATCATTTAAGAAGTCTATCCATGTATTTCTAACCATTTCTATATCGTTGTTGGAACATATAAATTGTTGACGTATATCATTTTACATAGAAAACTCGACAAATAAGTGGTAAAAGCTTTCCGTAGATTGCAAATCGCAATCCCAGCAAGTGTCTGTTCATTTTAATTTTAATAAATTATTTTTAAATATTAGTCTTTTATTATAAAAATTTTCTAATCGAATTTGAGCAAACAGTCTAGTATATTCTAAATTATTTCTGATTAATAAATAATTTTGTGTTCTATCCATCATCGTGAGATTAGGAAGAATCTGCAGGGATTGTGAATTATTCAATCTTTTCCGGTCTTCCTCATGTACATAAAATTCATATGCTTTAATTAGCCGTGTTTTATTTTTATTTAAATATTCAAGTGAAATTGTTCTCCAGCTATCTGCTTTACCTATCGACTCAAAAAATCTACATATTTGTTTGCCCCAAATATATTTCACGTTCAAATCAGGAAGGAATTCAGTATCCCGTAATCTATTAAAACATATTTTAGGATATCTATTATCACTCATACTCAAAATTCTGTCTAACATGTTCAATATCAATTTAAATACTCTAACTTCAACTTTATTCCTTTCTGTTTCTAAACGAATAGCATAAGCTGGTATATTCAAAGGGACTCTTAGTAATTTTTTATAAAAATTAGACTGCACTTTTTCGATTTCATCGAGATATCTCAAACTCCAGATTTGAATACCATAAGATAAGACGCTAATAATGAGACTGTTACATATTCTTTCGTTTGCTGCCCACTGATTTTCATTTATTCTATTTATTATTGATATTGATGAAACAACGGCTAAATTAGCTTTACTTATGAAATCCTGAGAAGCATCGGAAAAAATAGAGGATTCTGAGAATAGGACTCCCAAATATGTATACTGTTTCAATTTTCTCCTGTCCATACATAAAATATTCGTATACCGACTTTTTCTTCCCTCCACTTTTTCGGAAAATGACGATTTTAGTTTTACTAACATTTACTTCAAGTTCATTAATTTCACAATATTTACGCAATGCTTTCAGTATTTTATTCATCCCTGCCGGAGATTTAGACATAACGGCTATATCATCGGCATAAGCAACAATAAGAATTTCTATGAGGTGACCCACAGACACTCCATGAATACCCTCGTTTTTTAAAAACTCTTCCAAGTCAGCGATAAAAAGTGAAAAAAGGATAGGGCTACAAACTTCTCCCTGTAACACCCCCCTTGTAACTTTAGTTGATTTAGAAACACCATCACTGTTCCTGACAGAGACGTTTGCTTTTTTATATAAATCCATAAGAATCTTTATTACCTTATCACTCATGCCCAAACAATATAATTTTTTCCAAAGAAGCTGATGATTAATTGACGGAAAAGCCCCTCGAAAGTCGACAAACAGTTTCCCCCGCTTAGCATTTATTTTTAATTGTATAATGGAATTTAGGGTAAAAATATTGTCAAGACAGTTTCTATTTTTTAAAAACCGGTTTGAAATTCTGGTATTAATTGTTCTTGATCTGTCCAAGTGATTTTTTTCAAACCATGCTCATTATTTTACATAAATAACTTTCTATTTTTTTAAAAAATCAATCATTAATAAGAAAAAAGGCAATTTTTGAAACTTTTTTTAACAGTCCGCTATTTTGTTATTTATTAAAATAAATTATTCATTGAGGTTTAGACAAAACACAGTTTTGCCGAAGCAAAATCTCGAAGAAAACAATTTTTAAACTAAAATTTATTTTTTTAATTTTCTTCAAACTTTATTCTTTGTATTCATTATAAATTATATTTAAAATGTGTTACAAGATTGTTTATATTTTATTACCAAAAAGATTCATCTGGACTTGGCCACATTGTAGAATTTTTCCATCTCGTTATTCTATCTGTAAATATCAAAATGTCAAAATGGAATTTTAAACTACTTTTTGTAATCAATGACATTTTTTAATCACAGTTGACCTTGACTTATTTAAATACTATACTTACCAAGAACCTTCTTTACAGGACTCCAGTCAATGTCTGCTTCAACATTTATCACAAATAATAGAAAAAAAATATAAAGTAATTTTATTATTAAATGAGACATAACGTTTTTGCATAAGAAAAAACAATTTTTTAATGAAATTAAAATTTTATGTTTTTAAATAAATACAAAATTAACTTTTATGTATGAATTAATATTAATATGTAAGTTCTTCTACGATACAAAACTACTTTTTTTCCTTTTTACTCTTCAAAAAAGATATATATCTTTCATTTTGAAACTAATTTGTCACATTAATAAATACGTTTGCAAATAAGTATCTAAGTAAATTATACGATAGACATATAATTTTCTTTTTACAATTTTTATCTTCTTTTCAATTTTAATTACAAAGGGAAAAAAATTCAAAATAAATTTAAAATTCATATTCAACTATTAGTTAAAAGAAATGAAATAATTTTTTAAATATAAGAATAATTTTTTAATAATAATTTCAACTTCTGTCTTATAAATTAGTAAATTAATTAATTGTAATTATATACGTAATTAATTATAATTATATAATTAAATAATTGTAATTAAATAATTAATTAATTATAATTATATGAGTAATTAATTATAATTATATAATTAATTAATTGTAATTATATACGTAATTAATTGTAATTAAATAATTAATTAATTGTAATTATATAAGTAATTAATTGTAATTATATAAGTGATTTATTGTAATTATATAATTAATTGTAATTATATAATTGATTAATTGTAATTATATAATTAATTGTAATTATATACATAATTAATTATAATTATATAATTAATTAATTGTAATTATATACATAATTAATTGCAATTATATAAGTAATTAATTGTAATTATATAATTGATTAACTGTAATTCTATAATTGATTAATTGTAATTATATACATAATTAATTATAATTATATAATTATCTAATTGTAATTATATACGTAATTAATTGTAATTATATAATTGATTAATTGTAATTATATAATTATCTAATTGTAATTATATAATTGATTAATTGTAATTATATAATTATCTAATTGTAATTATATACGTAATTAACTGTAATTATATAAGTAATTAATTGTAATTATATAATTAATTAATTGTAATTATATAAGTACTTAATTGTAATTATATAATTGATTAATTGTAATTATATAATTAATTTATTGTAATTATATAATTAATTGTAATTATAGGTATACATAATTAATTATAATTATAAACGTAATTAATTTTAATTATATAATTGATTAATTGTAATTATATACATAATTAATTATAATTATATACTTAATTAATTATAATTATATACGTAATTAATTATAATTATATAATTGATTAATTGTAATTATATACGTATTTAATTATACTTATATAATTGATTAATTGTAATTATATAAGTAAATTATTGTAATTATATAAGTAATTAATTGAAATTATATAATTAATTAATTGTAATTATATACGTAATTAATTGTAATTATATAATTGATTAATTGTAATTATATAAGTAATTTATTGTAATTATATACATAATTAATTATAATTTTATAATTGATTAATTGCAATTATATACATAATTAAATATAATTATATAATTGATTAATTGTAATTATATATGTAATTAATTGTAATTATATAATTAATTAATTTTAATTATATACGTAATTAATTGTAATTATATAATTTATTAATTGTAATTATATACGTAATGAATTGTAATTATATAATTAATTAATTGTTATTATATACGTACATAATTATAATTATATAGTTGATTTATTGTAATTATATAATATATATAAGATCTGAGGTTAAAATATTGACGTTAAACTTAATTTTAAAACTGTAAATTAAGTTCCGAAAACTCTTTTCCCCATTTACCTCAACTGACTCTATATAAATTATTAATTATTTATTTTTTATTTAGTTATAGTGCGACTTGACAATTTTGGAATATGAATAAAATTTGATTCAATTATACAATTAAAATTTGAATTCAATTAACCAGTTTAACGAAATGTTGAAAATACATTGTAATAATTTTTATTAATAGACCAATGTCAATATTTTCTTTAATTATTGTTTATTTATAAACGTGTTATATAATTTACATGGACGATAATAATTTCTTAAGAGCAGTTAAATATAATTGATGGATGTAGAAGAGTCTAAAAAGTCGAAGTTGTTTATTATATAATTTAAGCAATGTTGTTCGCAAAACCTACATATACTCGTTTCGTGTTGCGACGATAAATAACGTTGGAAAACAGAAAGGCTGATGGCTAGTCAGGAAAATACGCAGACGAGAAAGTGCCTTTGCAACATCACGTGCAGAGAAAAGAGAAAATTTATTGTAAAAATTACGACGGGCGCTTGTTCAGAAGAATCGGGAGGTTGGTCAATGCTTGTAATATATAAAGAAAATGGGCTTTAACACAATGCTGCCGTTGCTACTATACTATTTTACTTTTTTCCTATGTCAGAATTTTAATAAAAATATTCACAGCTTTTATATTTTTGCAATAAGTTTTCTTTTTTCATCGAAAATTTTTATTTTAATTTAATTATTACTGGTTTGTCATATACATATTGAATTTCAATATCGTGTGTTAAAAAGATACATACAGGATAGATAGTTTTAAATCATATTACGTTCAAAAAAAAAAAAAAAAAAAACTATCACGTACCTACAAAGAATTTTTCAAATAGTTCTAGTTTCTTTCATATGTGGAAAAATTTAATTTAAACTTTAATAATAGCAAAAAAAGGAATTTCAAAAGAGAATTTTATTAACTATATATATATATCGATAAATTTTTTTTTTGTAAATTGATTATAGAAATTTTTGTTTCTAGACTAAAAAAAGAGAAATATTTCAATATACACGTTCCTAGAGATATTAATAAAAAAAAAGTTATTCGGATTTTTGATTAAATTGAATAGTATCGGAAATTTGGGGTTTTTTTTTTTTTGTTATGATGGCTCTTTTTCCAAAAAATAATTGGTTCGGTGATCGAGAATCACGTGTAAAATTTTTACCGCTACGAATAAACGTATTTTTATTGCTAAAAATAGAAATATTTATAGTTTTTTATTTTATGATCGGGAAATCATAAAATTCTATTTACTTCTACTGATATGAATATTATTTTTTAAATAACAATTATAATTTAGTTAGTTACCTTAAACCTCGTTCCCATGCTGTGACAATAAGGGTGTTAACGGCCAAATCGATAGGAATAATTTCAGCTTGATAGTCAGCGTGTCCAAATGCAAATCCAGCACCGACCATTAGGGCAGTTGGTCCCTTTATGACTTCAACATAACCTGGCATTGGTTCCTTGTAAACAGGACCCACAATGGGGAGTCGAATGAGAGCTAGTGGCACATCAGGTACTTGTTCATTGAGTAAACTTTCAGCAATTTGGCCCCTATATCTAAAGAGGTTAGTAGCTGCTGCAACCACTTTGAGGTTAGGTAGGTCTTGACAGAATTCAAGCACAGTGTCATGTGGTCCAGCTGCATGAAATACGACGCTGACATTCGCTAGAAGCACTTGATCTTCTTTACTTAGTCCAAGGCTTTCGTAAAGGAGATTTCCCTCTAGTGCCTTTACACGTGAAACTGCATTTGGATCTTCAAGTCGAAGTCTCTCATATCTAAAATTTAATTTATTTCACTTCATCATTAAATTATAAAATTATTATCAAATCTTCTAAATAATTGTCAAATATAAAGAATGTAATTAATAATATTTAATAGAATCACAAATGGAATAAAACCTAATTTTCAATTTGGAATTCTATAGTTATTACAATATAAAGAAAAGGAAAAGGGCATCAAGACCATTGCTAGATAGCTGTCGTTTAAGAAGAAATTCAACGAAAATGGAGGAATAGATTTATTGCGCGCGAATTCTTTGTATAAAAGAGAAAAATCACCGTTGAGTTGTAACATTTCACGAAAGTCGTTGGAGAATCCCAAGTCTTTTGCAGCTCAATAAAAACCTCCCTTTAACTCTCCCCTCGAGTTGTCTTAAAGCACCTTTTACACGTTCATGCAATAGTTCAATCGAATAGACAAGCACTTTACTCTATTGAAAGAGATAAAGTAAATTACCTGATGAGGCAATTAATTGGGATACCGCAGTGAATCGTGAAAATTAAATTAAAATTATTCCAATTTTTATGTCAAATTCTTTTATCAAATCTCTCAACCTCAATTTTTAATTATTTTTTGTAATGTGTATTGTAAAAATACCAAAGAGACATTTTAATGATTCGAAAAAAAAAATATTCACAAAATAGTCAATAATAATAAAAATAAAGTAATAAGAAAATTTATTGTATATCTGTGTTGTTAAAGGAGAAAGATAAAAAGTAATTTATTTTTATGTTTTCGTATAATGAAACCATTTTAAATGGAATGTATACGATAAGGATCGATTTGCTTACAAGCCTTAGAAATCTGGTAGCGCACTTGAGTTAATGAGGGTATACTGTAAATTTGGATTACTTCCGCACACGCATCTTTGACATTTAATAGCCAATGACATTATGTGACATATTCCTGCTCAATGCGGGAAATTGCCAATAACACCAATTGGCTCATTAATATTAGTCCAATATTTCAAAATGATTTTAGAATTAATCCTTTTTGTTTTCATATTATTTATGACTTGTAATTAGATAAAATTTTTATAATATAGAATTTAAAAAAATAATTTTAATTTAAAAGAAATTTTTATAAATATGCATTAAAATTTATTTAATTAGTATTTAATATCGGGTTGTCAAAATCTCATTGGTTAATGAGTTAGTGGTAAATTTCCCAATGGACATTCGGGATCTCTTATCTAAATCTACATTTTTTTTTTTTTGTTACTAAGGAAGAATTTAATAGAAAAAATTGCTACCTCTAGGCGACAATGTTAAAACACGTTCGCGTGCTTTCATGATGCAAAAGCTTCAGTCATAACGACGTCCAAACACGTAATACGACGATCCCATTCGTTGGTACGCGTACAATTTACTGGAAGGTTCATTGAATCTTTAGTGCATTACATTGGACGTCCAACTTGAGATAGGGCTATCAGCTTATCGAATTTTTGTTTTATTGCCCCTATTTAAGAGGCTATCAAACTTTTTCCAAGTTTTTCCTACTTTTTTTTTTATTTCAATATTTACTTCACACTGCAGCTAAATATGGGTTAAAGCTGTGCATTAGTTTTTCAATTTACATCAAACCTATATCTTTAAGTGGATATTTTTATCTTGTTATCATTTTAAAAAATTACACACCACACGTAGCTATAGGTTTAAAAATATGTTGGTATAAAATTTCAAGTAAAATTAATATTAAAAACAGGTTTAATATAATTTAATAATACATGGTAAAGATAATATTTTCTAAATTTTAATTGTCGCTTTATGACTCCGGCAGTACTTGACAACATCGGGACACTTCGTGTGACACGAGTATTTACGATGAAAAGTAAACAAAGCGATCTTTCTAAATATCGACAAAGTTCAAAAAGGTGAAGAAATATGTGAGATTAAAATCAAAAGGTGACAAAATTAATAATAGTTGTCGGTAAGTAGGAATTCGATTTTTGTAAATTCATTACATGTATTAGAAAATTTTGTAGGTTAGAAAATATTTTATTTCTTTATAATTTAATGAATGTAATTTAATTTTGCATGTTAAAATGTTACGTAAATAAATTTCAAAAATATATTTGCAAATAAATATTAAGGAAATTATAAGAATCAAAGTAAAATAATTATTAAATATTATTAATATTAAAAATATTATTTATCAACTAATAAAATTTGAAAAAATTATTAATTATTTGTCTTTAATCATGTTATCAGTCTAAATAAGAAAATATTCATTTTATATTTGTATGATTCTTCTAAATGTACTTTTTTCTAAAAACTAATATAATTTTGATTAAATGAAAATTGATTTAATTTTCATATTTTTAATATTAATAATAAAACTAAATTTAAATTTCCCGCTTCATTTAATACTCAAAACTGCTAAAGTCAAGTGTACAATTATTTTTGTAGTTAATCAATGACTCGTATAGTGCTTTGCGTTTCACCCACGTGACTATAAACCCTTACCAAAATATAATAGGAAAATATTTCCTGTTACAGTAATTGTATTATAATAAAGAATGATTTAATTAAATTAAATATATTTATTTTATAAATTTGGTAATTTTTTTTTTATTTAAGTTTAAATTTTATTCTTAATATGTAAATTAAAAAAAGTCGGATTAACACCAATAACAATAATAATTTTTTGTTCAAATATTTGAAAATCTCTCGTCTACCAGATTCTCGTTTTTTCAACTCGAAATTAAAATAGTTAAGGGGCAATTTTATTCAAAGCAGAAAAGTCGCTTTGGGATGTTGAAAAATGGAAATGAACGTTTAAAGAATGCAATCAAAGAAAGAGTAAATCTCTTTTAGAAAATTTTTTTTGTTTATATTACATGGTTTCAAAAATAAAAAACTATACGCTATTTGCAAACTTTTAGATTAAAATATCTTACAATCTTGACGTTAAAGGGCAATTTCTACAACGAATTCAATTCTAAGATGTCAAAATGCGTTGGAAACATTTAGAGTAATCTTTTTTTTTCTAAAGAAGCTAAAAATATTTTATCATTGAATTTCATCGTTGTTAATTAAACGTTCAGTGCAAAAATTTTTTTAAAAAATGTCTTCTTACGAGAAAATCATTATAAATTTAATTAGTTTCGAAAGAGGAGAAAAATAACCTTAATTAAAAAAACAAAATTTTTAAAATAAAAAAGTTATTGTTCTATTACAAAAACTTGGAGTGTATTAATTATTGAATTTATTTTATAAAGCAACTCAAATAATAATGTAAACACAAAAGAATTGAAATTTTATCTTCTCTAAGATAATCAATATATCAGTCAGTATGGTCAGTGTAATTTAATAATTTTAATTTAATTAAAACTATATTAAGAAATTTAAATGAAGGAAAATTATTTTTAATTTGTTCTTCCGATCTATTAAGATTATCAAAAAGTTTATACCCAGGTGAGAGGAAAATCCTCTTAATCCGATCGTCCTTGTTATATCCTGAACGCGACCTTAGAACTGAATAAACTTTAATCTTTGGAAAAGTACGTAAAATCTTTTCGAGAACAGCACGGCCTACCTCACTGGTAACTCCCGTAAGTAGCACTTCGCGTTCACCGAACCACTCGTTGAGAGACATGATTATTAACTGCCGAAAGAAAATGAAAGTGACTGGATTGTTGAATAACTTTACGTGCGGGACAACAAACTTCTTTTACAGGGTAGAAAGTTCATTCACTGGCGCCGAGTAGAGAGTGAGAGATTTTCTTATATATATATATATATATATATATATATATATAATTAAAATTATTATTATTATTAATTACCAATCATATATATGAGAAAATAAGAAATCGTATACCTAACTAGACTCGAATTCTATTTCGGATTAAATACATGAGACTAATTGTAAGTCGTCTTCAATAACCAATCGACATATTAAATAATGTTTAATATTCGATTTGAATTACGTCCTTTCATATTTAATTTGTATTGGTGATAAATAAATGATCAGTGGAAGGTAGATAGAAAAAAAATTCTGTTTAATTCCTTTAGCAACGTTTCGTCGACCTCATCAGACTGAAAATTAAACAAAAAAACACCTTTTTTTTTGCTTTTACCTGAGGGTCAATTACGTAACTTTTTCCAGATCCCGCATTCCGGATCCCACTTTCAAAATTCCCTATTTCAGATTCCGGATTCCACTTTCAAAATTCCGTATTCAGGATCCCACATTCTGTATTTCACATTTCGTAATCCACATTCCGGATCCCACTTTCAAAATTCCGTATTCCACATTCCATATTCCGGAATGTGAAATCCGGAATGTGGAATCTGAAATACGGAATTGTGAAAGTGGGATGTGAAATTCGGAATGTGAAATGTGGGATTCGGATTCCTCATTTCGGATTTCATATTCCTTATTCAGGATTCCACTTCTCACATTCCGGATCCCACTTTCAAAATTCCGTATTTCAAATTCCATATTCCGGATTCCACTATCGAAATTCCGGATCTCACATTCCGTATTCCGAATTCCAGGTTTTGGATTCCATATTCCAATTACCACATTCTCGATCCCAGTTTTCACATTCCGTTTTCCGCATTCCGGATTCCACTTTTAAAATTCTGTATTCCGAATCCTATATTTCACATTCCGTATTCCACTTTCCAGATCCCATATTGCGGATTCCAAATTCCGGAATTAACTTTCAGAATGTGGAATACGGAATGTAAATAGTCGAATGTGGAAATCGGAATATGGAATCAAAAATGTAAAATCCGGAGTGCGGGATCCGGCATACGTAATGTGAAACGTGGAATACAGAATTTTGAAAGTGGGATACGTAATACGGAATGTGATATTTGGAATGGGAAAAGTGGAATCCGAAATGTAAGATCATAAGTTTGAAAAGTGGAATACGTAATCTGGGATCCGAAATGTGATATATGGGATCCGGAATAAGGAATGTGGAATCCCGAAAAAGGAATTTTCAAAGTGGGATCCGGAATACGGAATGTAAAATACGTAATTTTGAAAGTGGAATTCGGAATGTGTAATCTGGAATTTTGAAAGTGGGATCCGGAAAAAGTAAACAAAGCGATCTTTCTAAATAAATACCCGCAAAGTTCAAAAAGTGAAGAAATATGTTAGATTAAAATCAAAAAGTGACAAAATTAATAATAATCGTCGGTAAGTAGCAATTTTATAATTCGATTTTTGTAAATTCATTACATGCATTAGAAAATTTTGTAGGTTAGAAAATATTATATTTCTTTATAATTTAATGAATGTAATTTAATTTTGCTGTCAAAATATTACGTAAATAAATTTCAAAAATATATTTGCAAATTAATATTAAGAAAAATGTGACAATCAAAGTAAAATAGATTTTTTTTTATTATTGAATAATTATTAATTATTAATATTAAAAATATTATTTATTAAATAATAAAACTTGATAGAATTATTAATTATTAAATGAATTTAAAGTTTCCCCTTTTATTTGCCACTCAAAACTGCTGAAGTCAAGTGTACAATTATTTTTGTAGTTACTCAACGACACGTATAGTGTTCTGCCTTAACTTTTACATTACGTTTCATCCTCGTGAATTCCACTATAATATAGAATATTAATTACAATAATATTAAATATTTAAATAAATAATCTAGACATACGATCTGTACAAATAATTACTCGCCAACAAAATATCTAGGAAATTAATGAGGACACCTGTCATTTGGAAAGTGATGCACGTCGAGCGATTATCGATCGACAAATATTTGTCACAATCTCGTTAAAATGACAATTAAAAAATTGTTTTAAAAAAAGCTTACCCACTGAAAAAACACTGATTTCGTAAATATTTGTTTACTCAGTATTTAAAAAAAAATAATAATTCGCTAATAACTGTTAATTATTCATAACTTTAGCAATTTTTTTTTTATAAAACCATGTATTTAAACATTGATTAAAAATTAATAGAGTAAGGATTTTCCCTTTCGGAATGTTTAATAAAAAGTTGAGAAAAATTCGATCCATGGAAGGAATAAAATAACATAAAAAATGTATGTTATTAATATTGTTTATTGTCACAAAACAAGAAACGACATTTCGATGACTTGGTTCGTCATCATCTTCAGGTTAAATCTAATGAAAATATTTATAATTTTATTTATAACACCACATTATCTTTTTTTCAAATAATAAAAATACACAAGTAATAACAATTACCAATAATTAGTTGAACCGTTACATCTTAGCGGTAGAAAATTTTATTTTGCTCAGACTAAGCTGGCACGTCAGGTTTATAGACCAGTATCGTCAAGACTAAATTGAAAATACAAAATTTAAAATCTAAATGAAATAGAGGAGTCAATGAACTTAGATGTAAACAGCACGTGGAAGTGAAATATTTTCAGAAAAATAGAATCAAGAGTCTAATTTGGAAATTAAAGGGAAGTTTATTTTGTTTAGATACATTATGTCTTCTTTTTTATTAATAGTGGAATCATTAATTTTTATGTGTAACATTTCTGAAAAACATTGTTTTTTATAATTTTGTTCACGGTCTAGTATAAGAACATTATCCCAGTCAAACTCATGATTCAATTCTAATCGATGTAATTCAACTACTGATTGAGCCGATGTTTTATTTTTAGTATTTTTATGCTCATTAATACGTGTTTTTAATGAACGCTTAGATTCTCCAATGTAATTCGCTGGACAGTTTTTACAATTAAATTTATAAACAATGTTCGTTTCATCCCACTTGTCAATAGGATCCTTACCTAATTTTATAATAGATCTTAAAGGTTTATTAACTATTGGAATAGTATGTATATTGTATGTTTTTAGAATTTTTGACAATCTAATGAAATTTGAGTTACTATAAGGTAAACTGACTTTAGGAATTTTTTTTATATAAAAGTGCTTGTGAATTTACAATATTATTAGAATTATTATCATTATTCTTTGTGTGAAATTTAATGCTATTTAAACGAATTTTAGTATATTTTTTTAATAAATTTAAGTGGATAATCATTGTTTTGTAAAATATTATTAATTTTCATTACATTGTCATTGTGAAAGGAATGATGTGATAATAACATTGCTCGGTCTACAAGGTTATATACAATGTTTATTTTTTGTTGGAGTGGGTGATTCGAAAAGTAATTGATGAGTCTTCTAGAAGAAGATGATTTTTGAAACTAATTATATGTAATTTTATTATTTTTTATAATTATAGAAATATCTAAATAATTGATGTTGTTCATAGGTGAATTTTAATTTATTGTGATAAGAATTAAAAGTTTCAATGACAGGGTTAATATGATCTTTATGTATACATAAAATATTGTCATCAACATATCTAAAGTAAAAAATAGGTACACAATTTTTGTTCAATTTTTAATTTTTTAAGGCAATCACTTTCCAAATCATCCATTACAATATCAACGAAAAACGCAGAAATTGGAGAACCCATAGGAGTACCACCAATCGGTTGATAATATTTTCCATCGAAGACAAAGAAGGTGTTTTTATAAATAAAATCAGTGCAGTGTGAGATATCATTAAAGGGGATTTTACAATTATTAATATTTGTGATTCTTCGTTCAAGACTTTGAATGACCAAGTCAAGAGGTACGTTTCGGTAAACAGAGATTTAACGTCAAGAGAGACTAAAATGTAATCATTTGGAATATAATAATTTTTTATTTTTTCAATGAGCTCAAAACTATTATTAATATGTGATTTAGGAATACAGATATTATTTTTTAATTCATTGTACAAGGTTTTTGCAAAAAATATGTAGGGCTATTTATTAATGAAATAATAGGACGAAATGGAATGTCTTTTTTATGAATTTTTGGGACGCCATAGAATCTTGGTAAAACAGTATCAGTTAAAGTTAATGCATTGTGATGATATTTGTATTTTAAAAATTCATTATCTTTTAAATATTGGAGAATTTTACTAGTATTATTTTGAAGTTTCTTAAGTGGGTTGCTATTGAGAAGTTTATAAGAAGAAGTGTCGGAAAGTAAGCTATAGAAAAATATAGGATTTTTAAAAATATAAATTCATATATATATATAAAGATCTTGTAAAAATCTATGAAGATCATGGCAACTCGTATATCGTCAATTACAGTTTGTTCTCATGAATGTAACACACAACTGAACTTAAGTTTAAATTAAACGTCTGCTAAGATTCAATTAACTCTTAGACACTTTCATGGAAACTAATCTCACATCTAATCTTCTATCGGTAGCGCAGCATCAAGGAATTCATAGTTTTCTTGAGTCAAGGAGTGATCAGAGTTCAATGAAAACTTGGCCTATCCTGGTTCCAGTTAGTTCTGAAGTCGTGCTTAGAATCTTAGAGTATATTCAACTTATAGGGCGCACGTAGAGAAATCAATACTTCACCTGTAAGAAATCCGTTTACTTCCTGATTTCAGAAATAAACCGAATTAGAAGAATATGTTCCTAAAAAATTTAATTTGTCGAAAATGTGTATTTTTTTGGAGTTTCGTTTTAGTTAGTAAAAGTTTTGTTAAATTCTTCTTCAGAGTGAGAAAAATTACATAATTAATAGTATATATATAATAAGAAAATTATGTTTCAAAATTTCAAAACTTATAACAAATCAAAATATATTAAATTAAGATCGACCAAATAAGTCCCTATTAAAAAATTACACGTGTAATTATACGTGTAGATTTGGCCACATGTAATTACACGTGTAATTGATATGCAGGTCGTGGAGAGATGGGTTTGTAGAAAAAATAGAAATATCAAATTAAATTCCGAGTATCTTGAGTGCTTAATAAATATTTCAATTATTTTCAAATGTCGTAAATTCAGTTCCTTTAATTCGTCTGATGCATAATTATAGACTTCTCTTTCTCAGAATGATTCTAGGGGATTAATTTTAATGTCTTCCACTCATATTTGAAGGATTTTATATTATTATCAAAGAATTTAAAAAAAATATCTAAATGTTATGATTTTAATAATCAAAAATAATGTTTTCGGATGTATTCATACCGGAATCGTTATATATTTTTTAAATATATATTTTATGCATTTTAAAAAGTATAACATCTATAATATATATTAATAGATGCTGCGAATTTGGTTTCCTCCTTTTACGTTTAATCGTAACCTATATCTATTGAGTGAAACCGATGCGATGCATCTACATGTAAACGAGCTTCAACTTCCCTTCAACCTCTACTTACGAGAAGTTTAGATTTGCATGATATTTCGTCAGGCTTGGGCTTTATTTCACTCGCACAACTAATGAGCGACATTTAAACTTTAGAGGTCGACATTCAGAAACCCACAGATGACTTACATATATACGTTTATTTTGAAATGACGTAACTCCAAGGATTTTTGTTTATAAACCACAAAAGTAAATAATTGCTTTTAAATCGAAATATTAACACAAAGGTTAATAAGATTTAATAAAATTTTTATCCTCAAGCTACAATAAAATTATGGAAAATTGTTTAAATTAATTTTATATCATGATTTAAAAGTAAATAAGTCGAATATTACGAAAATTTGTAAATACGCTTTATTAGCAAAGACACTTTAGTTATGTAATTTTGCACAGATTCAGTAATTCATTTGCATTTTAAAAAATATTACAAAACGAGAATGTTTCCTGTTATGCTCTGCAATTTCTTTTTGCAAAAGTGGCATATCTGATGTAGAGATAGAGGCAAGGACCTTCGACAAAAAAATAATATACATTTCTTGGAAATAAAGGATTCTCTTGTTTACGTATAAAATTTAAATCTCTTTATCATGTAAATATTATTCTTATATAAAATAAGAATTTAAATTGTGATAGTGATTAAAATAAAATTTAGAGTTTTATTAAAAGTAAACAAAGAAAATATCTTTCGATTCTGTCGACAGTATGAAATATGAGTGTGTATTGTAAAGAGTGGGGACAGAACCTTTAAAACTAATGCATAAGCAGGTGTGGTCAGATTAATTAGTCGCTACTCAAAGTGATAGCACGGTTAGTAAATTGTCTTCCAAAAAGACTCAGTGAAGCTTTGAAAGGATTGATTATCTCCAAGTTTTTGTACTTTGCTTGTTAAATAAATAAATTAGAGTTTGTCAGTTGAGTAACCAACTCACAAAAATAATATTCCCTAATAACACAAGACATCTTGGGATATATTGATAATATCCCGCAGATATCCTAGGGATGTCCTATGGATATCAAAAGGATCTCTTAAGAATATCCAAAAAATCGGCGGTTTGGATATCCCATGGATATCTGAGGATATCCACAGGATACCTTCCGGATATCTCTATAGACTTTCATAAATGTCCTCCAGATATCCCATAGATATCGTCTGGATATCCCACAGATATCATCAGGATATCCCATAGATATCGTCAGGATATCCCATAGATATCGTCAGGATATCCCACAGATATTTTCAGGATATTCTCAGTATATCTTCTGGATGTCAAGAAGATATTCTCAGGATACTGTTTTTAAAGTCATATTATACATTAAGTGCATGAGTTTATTTAAAAACTTTGAATAATGCGTTTCAAATCTTCATTTAAAATAAATTAGAAGCTCATAAGATTTTTGTTTTTATTATATTATTATTTTATTATTTTATTATTTTATATTATATTATTATATTATTATTCATTATATTAGCTTAACAATTTTAACCTTTAAAAATATATGTTGAGATATTAAATATCCCGTGAATATCCTAAGAATATCCCACGGACATCCTAAGGATATCCCATGGATATCCTGCGATATAATATCCAATAGATATTTTATGATTGATTACCTCCAAGTTTTTGTACTTTGCTTGTTAAATAAATAGAGTTTGTAAGTTGAGTAACCGACTCACAAAAATAATATTCCCTAATAACACAAGATATCTTGGGATATATTGATAATATCCCGCAGATATCCTAGGGATGTCCTATGAATATCAAAAGAATCTCTTAAGGATATCCAAAAATATCCAATATATATATATATATATATAGAATATATTGAAGAATATAATATCCAATAGATATTTTGTGGATATCTTAGGGATATCCTGTGGATATCCTATGGATGTCCTGTTGATGTCCCACAGACCGGCGGTTGGGATATCCTAGGGATATCTTATGGATATCCCAAGATATCCTGGGGACCATTCTAGGATATCGATCATTGATATGGATATCCTATGGATATCTTAAGGATATCCTTTTGTTATGAGGGTTATTAGTTGTTTCTTACGGCGACAACAATTCTAAAGAAATAAATCTTAATTGTCTTGTTCATTTTACTAATTAGTGTAAACATTATTAATAGCTGTTATTGTTTTATTAAATTTTTTTTTTTTTGAGAATATTGTTAGAGAAAGTAGTTTACTTTAGAGCGCCAAACACGTGAAACAGGTCATTACAGTGCGAGATTAAAATTTGAATTGTTATAGTCGAGAAGTATGATCGTCGAGGTTATACGCGAAGCAATAAGTACTTTAAGTGGCGTGATACCCTTTTTTTCAAGTGAATATTGCATTGTAAATATCGACGACGTAATAACTTATTACAAAAAAAAAAAAAATATTATCGTCAAAAATTTACGTTTGACAATAATCGTTTAATATGTTCTAAATTTTTATATTCTTTCAAATAAAATAAGTAATTCGTAAGAATTTAAGAAGTGGTATTAAATTTTTAAAAATTCATGTAATAACTTTTATTTTTTAAATCTCCTGAAAAGGAGCAATGAAAAATGAAATTGAATTTTTTTTCTTTTTTTTTTTTAAAAAAAAAGGAAAATTTTCAAACAGCGAGTAAAATTGAGTAACATGAGGGAAGTAAAAAGGAATGAAAACTAAAAATAGCTGCAGACGATTTATGGAATATGTTTGAAATTAAAGTTAAAATACTTTTGTGTTGAATCATTTTTTGAGGAATTTTACTACGTTTGTGTAATAGATTTTCAACTATTAGATCCGGTATGCATCCTTGCTTTTGTAAATTATAAATGTAACCAAACTGGCAGACACAGACAAAATCGCCAGGCAAATTGAAACAGCTTTCTCCCAAACTCAAAGAACAATTGTGTTTATTAGTGATGCACTCATCCACATCGATGCATATTCCATATCTAGAGGACCACTCATAACCCGATTTTTGACAATGGCATGTTACGTTTATTTCATTTCTCATCAAAGCTTCAAAATTCTGGTTCTCCGATGGGCTTAATTTACATTCACGTTTATCTGTAGAAAATAATTTTTTTTATCTTAAATTCACATAGAGAAATAATTGCTATATATATATGTGCTAAAATTAAATATACTTGGTGGATTATTTTCATAGCAGGGATTATTTTGGTAACATTCTTTCCAATTTGTGATATGCTTCATAGAACAGCATGCATCAGGACAGAAACTGTAGATGGCACAGGCAAATGGGTTTTTGTCGTCTGCTCTTGGATCTTTGTTATGGGTCCCATAAATTCCCAAACAATCTGCATGGTTATCGCACGGTTCTCCAAAATGGGTCAATTCATGTGTACCAAGCATCGTATACCAACACATGTAATAACTCGCAGACGTGCGCCATTGAAATCGCTCTAAAGTTGGTTCAATTATTTATTTATTTATTTATATACGCAAAACTTTAAAATATTAATTTCTAATTATAAAACTGATTAGAGTTTTAGAAATATTGAACAAAGTTTAATTGAATATTGGAAAATTTCATTTTCCCATTAATATAAAACAAACAATTACATTTTGAATTACCAATTGGTCCTTTAAATGGTTCGAATAATTGTTCTTCTGATTTATTTTTTTGTTCGCATTCACTTTGTGTTATGTTGATCTGTGGAGTATTATTAGGCAGTGTCCAATTGTGTTCCAACATAATTGTGACGGTGTCATCTTCTCGCCTCAAAGCAACGAGACTCACTATCCTTTGAAGGTACTTAAGACAAAGGACAAAGCTGGTTTCACACTCCTTATGAACTTCCCAGTGTAAGATCTTGAGTGGCGGTTTTGGAAAGTCCTCGTACAATCGTCTTGGCACATCGTTAACATTTGTGTGATATCTTCTGTCGTAATCATGAAATTTATGTCGACGTAGAAAATAAGCAACGTCACGTATTGCTAACATTTTATCCCTTATACTCGTCTCTTCTTCATCATCTTTTTCATCATCCTCATCGATTTTTCCTGAATTGAGAAGTTTTATATTTGGATCAAATATTTGCTCAGTTGTTGGCACAAGATCCACATTATTTTCCCCTTCTGTATTGGCTTCATTTTCGATCGTCGTTTGCAATTCAGAAAATGATATTTCAATCATTCGGATAATTAAAATAAATTTTAACCACATATTTCTTTCTTTGTATATTATAACCGCAAAAATTGTGACAATTTAAATAAACAATTGACTATAAAATCAATTCACATCAAATATTTTTTTTAACTCTCTAATAACGATTCATTCTATTTAGAGGAATTAACTATTAAATACTTAATAAATACAAAAGTTACAACTTAAATATGGCGAAAATTAATTTGCCTAATTAAAAATTGAAGCTCCGAATTGGTCAATTTTAAGAATAATTCCACACAATGACGTGTTACAATGCACTATACGAGTCGTTGAGTAACTATAAAAATAATTCTAAACTTGACTTCAGCAGTTTTGTGTCGAAAATGTAGCGGGACATTTAAATTTAGTTTCCCCAATAACAAGGAATATTCCATTCACATTTCGGGAATATTCCATTGGAATATTCGGAATATTTCTTTGGAATATTCGGAATATTTCTTTGGAATATTCGGAATATTTCTTTGGAATATTCGGAATATTTCTTTGGAATATTCCATCCATACTCCAGGAATATTAAAATGTCCGACCTTCGAAATATTCCACTCCCCCCAAAGCACCGAAACTTTCCTAAAAATTTCCTAAAGATTTATTTGAAATGTTCGGAATATTTAATTGCAATGTTTAGTGGAAATTGTGTAAACATTTAAATCTTTGCACAATTTTCACTAAACATTGCAATTAAATATTCCGAACATTTCAAAGAAATCTTTAGGAAAGTTTCAGTGCTGTGGGAGTCGAATATTGAGGGAATATTCCACCGGAATATTTGGGAATATTCCATTGGAATTTTGGAGTAAAATTCCGTTGGAATGTTGGAGGATTATTCTATCAGATAATATTGAAGAAATATTTAATGGAAACATAATAATAATAATAGTAATAATAATAATAATAATAATAATAATAATAATAACAAATAATAATAATAATAATAATAATAATAATAAATTTTGAAACAATACAAAAATGGTTTTTAAATTAAAATTTACAAATAATAATAATAATAATAATAATAATAATAATAATAAATTTTGAAACAATACAAAAATGGTTTTTAAATTAAAATTTACAAATAATAATAACAATAATAACAAATAATAATAATAATAATAACTTTTGATAAATTTCAAATGCGTATTACGAAAAAAATATTCGTACAATGTTTCAATTAAATATTCCCTCAATATTCCGAAGGTCGGATATTTTAATATTCCTGGAATATTCCAAATTAATGTTCCTGGAATGTGAATGGAATATTCCACGTTATTGGGGTTTATTACTAATATTAAAAATATAAAAATTAAATAACGCCGCGCCTTAGATATTATTCAATGATAAAAAACAATCTATTTTACTTTTATTCTTATATTTTTCTTAATATTTATTTGGGAATTTTTTGAAATTTATTTACGTAATATTTTGACAGTGCAATTAAATTACATTCATTAAATTAAAAAGAAATACAAAAAAAATAAATATTTTCTAACCTACAAAATTTTCTAATGCATGAAATGAATTTACAAAAATCGAATTATAAAATTGCTACTTATCGATGATTATTATCAATTTTGTCACTTTTTGATTTTAATCTCACTTATTTCTTCCCTTTTTGAACTTCGTCGATATTTATTTAGAAAGATCGATTTGTTTACTTTTCGTCGAAAATACTCATGTCACACAAATTGTCCCGATGTTGTCAAGTACTACTGGAGTCATAATACCAAATTTCCCTACCACGCATGCGTCGTTACCATGACAATTCCAGGATCGTATGTACTTAATCAATCACAGGTTCCATAAAATTGAATATTAATAAATTAAATTATAAAATTTACCAACAGTAACTATTTTATAAATAGAAGATACAAAAATCTATTTCAGTTTATTAAAAAAAATTTAATTTTTACCATTAGTTATTTCTATTTCTAAATTAATAATTTAACATAAAAGTTTTTTTTTAATAAACTGTTTTCCAAAAAAAAAAAAAAATAATGTTAAAAGCTCATAAAAAGGAAAGGGAATGTACATGAAACTTATAAAGTAGCAAGGAAATAAAAAAAAAAAGAACTCGATTCATCACGACGAGGTGGAAAATCTTCACGGATGTTATTTTTCGGGATCTGCGTATAGTAAGGAAACGTATATACATTACTACTTCTTTTTTTTTTTGTAATACTTTTTATGAATAGCGCAGACTAGTGTAAACTTGGCGAATAAAATGGCAAGCGTGCGGTTTGAGGCTTTGAGACCTGCAGAGAGCACAGTGAGGTCGACGTCGACCTACATCGCCAACGAAATGCTTCCAATTTTTTTCGCGACATGGCGCAATTCTCTGAAGCGGATTTATTGTTCTGCAGCTATTATTTCGTCTCCAGCGAATATTATACCGCATCGTATTATATGTATTATAATGTGCCATCTGAGACGAAGCATAGTTGTCTCTTCATTGACAAGAACCTTTAACACTAAGTCAACGGTCCGAGTGTATTTGGCTGAATAAGTCAGAGTAACGAGGTACTTATCTGCACTCGCCCAGCTTGCAAAATATATATACAAATCCCTCACAAGATCCCAAAATGTCACGGCGTCTTAACTCCTTTAACACTTCAACATTTTTTCTTTTTTTTCCAAGAAAGTTCATTAAAGGACAATTTATAAAAAAATTAATCAATAAAATTTTGATCCTTATATATCAATTTCTATTCTAAGTAGATATAATATAATAATTTCAATATTATACAAATAGAATTTTTCAGAATTGATGGAAAGATTTTATGATAAAAATTCTGAGTACAAAGTCTTGCTGTAGTGAACATTTAATACTCGTTTGAAAAGAAAATTCTTCCTATAAAAATTCGTTCTTGGTGTGTTTCCATTTTTTTTTTTTTTTTTTTTTGCTAGAAAAAATAGAAATATGAAAGATTTTTTTAAAAGTCCTTTAGAAACATGAAGAACGTTCTGGTTTTACCAGGGAAACTTTTTCTCAATAAGTTTCCGGTTAACCGCTTATCTCATCTTATGCCGTGATCAGAATTCACTCTTCGTACGAGTCCTTTCTAAGTTTCAGTACAGCCATATATATATAGCCTTCTATCGCTAAAGGCGCTCGTAACTTTTAGGTGTCTTAAATACGAACTTAACTCTGATACAGTCTCTAAAACAGAATTCTTGTTGGACATTTATTGGTCCATTTCATTTAAAAAATTGATTTTGATTAAATATATAACCACTTAAGAGTGTATACTTTGATACACTAAACGGAATATTTATTGCAATTGGAATTTTATTGTATTAATCAGAATTTTTAAAAAATACTAAAAATAAAAAAAAAGAGGTACGATAATATTAATTTACTATACTGGGAGTAAGATAAATTTTCTTAAAGTTAGACAATTAATTTTCTTCTTCAATTTTATACAAAGGTATATATAGAAAAAAAATGTCTTTAACAGAATAGCGGTAAAAACAATGTATATCGCAGTTCGAAAAGAGTTTCGCATGTAACAGCTGAGCGGTTTGCAAGTGACTTCTAAACGCTTTTACTCTATACGTTTAAAACCTCGTACCAAAGAAAAGTCTTTATGAAAATTTTTTAAAGCAAGAACGTGAGCACATTTTCCCTGAAACCACACGATGCTTATGTCTGAAAACTTTACGCGTTTGTTCTACAAAGTATATATATATAAGAGTATATGAAAAGGATTGTATCATCGAAAATGGGGTGTAGGTCTAGCAAGCGCGCACTTGAGCTCAACTTCATCTAATCGCAAGTGTGTACTTTATAAGTACTACACAATGTACTTGATACAAACTATAGACACTGAAACATGAATCGTGTTATTGTTACAAATTAATAATACAATCACTATTTTTAAGGGATTACACCACTGTAGAATTTTCAAAAAAATCGAAAATTTTTTTTATCGCTTAAAAAATTTTTTGAACCTTCTAGAATAAAGGACAAAAGGTTTTATATCGATTGGAAAAATTTTTTCCTTAAAATTTCGCATTCTTTCTCAAGTGCCCGCTGCTCCAAACCGACTACCTACGGTAAATTGATACCTGCTCTTCGGGCCCCACTTGAATAGATTCCCCGGAAAGTGCCCCCTGGAGATTCCATCAGAATTCCGTCGGAACATCCCTAATAAAACAAGATATCTTGGGATATATTGATAATATCCCGCAGATATCCTAGGGATGTCCTATGGATATCAAAAGGATCTCTTAAGGATATCCAAAAATATCGAATATATATAGAATATATTGAAGAATATAATATCCAATAGATATTTTATGGATATCTTAGGGATATCCTGTGGATATCCTATGGATGTCCTGTTGATGTCCCACAGACCGGCGGTTAGGATATCCTAGGGATATCTTATGGATATCCCAAGATATTCTGGGGACCATTCTAGGATATCGACCATTGATATGGATATCCTAGGGATATCCTTTTGTTATGAGAGTTATTAGTTGTTTCTTACGGCGACAACAATTCTAAAGAAATAAATCTTAATTGTCTTATTCATTTTACTAATTAGTGTAAACGTTACTAATAGCTGTTATTGTTTTATTAAATATTTTTTTTTGAGAATATTGTTAGAGAAAGTAGTTTACTTTAGAGCGCCAAACACGTGAAACAGGTCATTACAGATCCATAAATATCCTAAGAATATCCCATGGATATCCTGCGATATGATATCCAATAGATATTTTGTGGATGTCCTATGGATGTCCCACAGACCGGCGGTTTGGATATCCCAAGATATCCTATGGATATCCTAGGGATATCCTTTTGTTATGAGGGATCCAACGGAATTTCATCGGAGTTCCAAAGAATTTTCGATGGGATTCTGACGGAATTCCGATTAATTCTTTTTTAATTTTTAGAGTCCTGAAAAATAATTATAATTATAAAATAGAATTTTTATCATAGAAATTTTACTAAAAAATTTTATTTTTTA